TTCCTTATTTATTCATTACTTTTAACGATCAATTTTCAAAAATTTTGCTTAGCTAAATTAATTAAATTAATTAACTTTATTCAAATTTTATTTCTCCAATTAAAATTTGGTCTCTCGTCTTTATTCTTTTGTCGCTTTTATTTTTTATTTGGAAATATATTATAATTTTAGAAATTATTTAAACCGGTAGAATTGCCAGTAGCGCATCGACAACAGAAACCCCGATTGTTGCAGAAAAACCCTTGGCCACAAAGTCCATTAATACAAGCGGCTACCGCTGGCCCACCATCGCATGCTGCTGAAAATACCAAATATTTTTTCCTCTTACTCTTTCCCTATAATTTATTGAAGTAAAAATTGTTATTAATCCGCTGTAATTCAAATAAAAAATTGAAAAATTAATAAACTGATTAAATTAATGAAAGTTAAATAAATTTAATAAACGAGTTACCGATGAATTAAATTGCCATAAATTATAAACTGCCATTACGAATTGCTATAAATTAAATAACTTAAGTTAAATTACTAATAAATTAAATTGCCACTTTTATAAAAGCATTATATAAAATCATTATGAATTGAATAAATAAGATTGATAAAAAAATGATCAAGTAATAAAATAAATTATAATACGTATAAATTATTGCTATTAAAGCATCAGTCTTTATTTGTTGATAAGATAAAACGCCTTATTGTTATTAATCTAATAAGAAACACTGTAAAAATTCTGGAAGATAAGAAAGTTACATATTTGAATAAGGTAACAGATAAATAGATAAATAGATGAAGAGTGACAGATAAATAGATAAAAAGTAATTGTGAATTTTTTCTTTCTAAAAATTTAACGGATGATAAAAAATTAAGTTGAAATATTAATTTGAATTTGCTTAATCCAAATTGAACTTACTTAAAACTTACTTAAAAGACTGAAAATGTTTGCTGGATTTGATGGTGTAATTGGTATCGGAATTGGGATAATATTAATGCTGCCAGGACCGATAATGGGTTGAATATTATTTGGGACGGTGGATGGACAGCAGCATGCACGGATGCAAACCATCCGAGGTGCAACTTGCTGACATTGGGAGCTTGCGTAACAACTTGGGAAACATCCCGTTGGACAATTTTGCGCGTATTGTCGTTTAAATCGACTTAAAACTGAAAGTGGAATTTGAATTATTTTATTAAAATAAGCTTTGACAATAAAAGTCAATTTTAGCAACATGATATATATTAGCTAGTAAACTAATGTTAATTAAAATTTTACAATGAAAAGTCTTAATACGAACAATATTCCTACTTTGAAAGATTCCATAATTTTAACAATTCAATTTATTGGAATAAACTATAAATAATTTTTTAGGTTTTAACATCAATAATAATTTGGAATTTTTTGCAGTCCTTTCTCATTACAACTTTGACTTTAACAATTAATGTCGAACATACTGTTTTATTTACGTTGCAATAAATTATCTAACTGAAATATAAAGAAAGAATAATATTTCAAGAGATAAAAACAAATTTAATTTACATGAAATATTTCCATGTGTGTCGATATGCTGATCAATTGACATTTCTCCATTTGTAATAGTTTCAGTTGAAATATTTGTTATCATTAAAAGAAATATTGCAATATGGAATGAGATCAGCATAGTCGTTCCAATTTGATACATTTCTGTTCCTGTTACATTTGAAAAATTCATTTTGAAAAGAAGAAATTAACATTTTTTTGAGTGCAAAATTTAAGTATGAGTGATAAATGCGTTAGTGATAAATATGTTTAATCCAGCAAGCATCAAAATTCGTGTTAGATATGAAAGAATATAGTTGTTGTAATAATTTCTTCACTTATTGTAATTATTATTTTTAAACTAAACTATTATGTTCATTTCAAATAAATATAACAGTTTACTTATCTATTATTAGTTAATGAAGTTAACATTAACATTAACATCATACAATTATCGGATAAATTTTTCTGTTAAATGAAATATATTATAGAAAGGTGAGTGTACTATAACAGATAAGCGTACTGTAATTCGTGAGTGTACTGTGGTTAGGTATTATATAACAATTTGTGAGTGTACTGTAGTCGGGTATTATATAACATAAACTTTTACAAATATTTTGCGGAAAAATATTTTGTGTTATCATATACGGGAAAAAATTAGAGATTCACTGATTTGGAAAAGAAACTTTTCTGAAATTTTCATCGTTCCGTAAAGTATATTTTTGTCTTTCCCACTATTTCAACTGAAATTCTATTACCGTATCATAAGGGATTTATCATTATCTTTCTCCTTTCATCATTATCTTTCTTCTATCTTCTCTATATATTCTCTCTCTCCCTTGATATATATTTCTAAAAATCAGCTTTTTTATATTATTATTCATCATTTCAAAGGTTAGTTTCATGCTAAAATATTTCAGTATATCTCCTTTTTAAAAGAAATACTTCTATATAATAACAATAAGCAATAATAATGCAATTAAAAATAATATTTTATCATTATATACATTGAACTAATAAACTCAATATTTTGATATATTT